CTTCTACGTAGAGATCGGACCTGAGAATGCTCGTCTACACGAAGAGGCCCTGGCGGCTCTCTACACCATCGACGCTGGTGCAGGAGGCGTATTCGGGACGAGTCGAAGCGGAGCAGCCCTCTCGAACACTGTCATTCTGGTCGTGATTGTCCTCCTCAGCACTCTGTTGGCAGCCTCGCTCATCGGAGCCATCGTCTGGGCCCGATCAAAGACACATTCTTCGGCTCGTCTGCCGGACGGTCAATACACTGGGTAATACTGGCCAAGTTCAAATCAGTTTCGTAGAAAAGTGTATGATAAAGCGAGTCGAAGGTCGATCCCACCAGAAATCGACGATGAATCCCTCTTGGAATCCATGTCCGTCACAGCTAATGGACGGAAGCGTCCAGAGGCCGGCCGACCTCTGGATGAGAAGAATCGGTCGTCGTCTTCTGGTGGGATCGACTTCGAATCTATTTTCATCACACACTTTTACTCGGGTTGAGAGTGGTCTCGACAAGCATAAACCAAGAGACTTATATAAACTCAACTTTTCTTCGCATGCAAAGCAAAGATGGGTGATGATGTACTAAAACTTGAATTTTTACACAATTGTATTAATTCTCGTTGAAGCAGCTTCTCGAGGTCGACTCTCATTGGGGCTGGGAAGGAGACACAGGCAAATACGAAGGGAAAGCGGGCTTTGATGAATCTCTTGAGATAACATTGTTGTGGAGACTTTCAGTTCTTATGAAAGTGCATGATGAAGAGAATCGTAGGTCGAGCTCACCAGAAGACGGCATCTGATTCCGGTCGTTTTACATTCGTTTGGCCTTAATACAACGTTCTGGCTCACGCAATCCATGAGAAGTCCGCCCTCGTTTCGGGTGGAAATGGGCTGTGACTTTGTTTGTCATGTCAGTTGACGGACATCGTCACAGCTGGGACTCATTCTTGCAAAAGCATCATGTTAACACTAAGTTAAGAAAACCATTTGGAACTATCTTACAATCTGCGAAAATGAGGTCAGATCACTTATATATATTTTAGTAACTAAAAACTAAGCAATATAGATATGGATAGATATAGAATGATTTGATTAATTCTATTTCATATTAATCAGACTACTTATACTTGGGTTTCTGTGAGTAATATGAAAAGAAATAACCAAATAATTATATGTACATCTATATTAATCTATATGTCTTCGCTTTTATTTATGTGTATATACAACATATAGGATATGACTGGATAATCTTCATGACTTAGTGTTGACTTAAGACTTTTGCAGTAATGAATTCCAGCCCTGATCATGCCAAGCATATGATTGATGAAAGCTCAGTCCGTCTTCACTCGAAACGTGAAATGAGATCTCATGGACTGCGTCAACCTAAAAGTAGTATTCAATCCAAACGGCTGCATAACAAACGGAATCAGTTAGCGTCTTTTGGTATTCTCATAGGAAATGAAGGCCTTCATTACAAGGTTGAAGCAGCAGGCTAGTTTGGATGCGAATACAATCTAGGAGG